GGCTTAACTGTTATCAGCAGAAACAGCTCTCGAAGCAATTTATTTCATTTGCAAATAAAATGGTTATTTCACGTTTATCCTTTACAGAACTACAAAAAGTATAATAGAAGATCTGGCATCTTTTTATGACGTATATACATCGTGTATTTTACAATTTCGATTATCAATGGGTGAAGACATCAGGTCTATATGTACATTATTGACTCACAAGATCCTATAAACGACGGTCCATAAGTTTCAGTGATATTTTCTTTAAATATCGCTTTCTTAAACAGCACAACAGCATATACTTACTGAACTAAACGTTCTGCTGATTCGTAGCTTTTAGCAGTGCTCATCGCAAGATAGCCTAGACATTATTTCCAACCGCATGGTTATCAGATTAAAAACAAATCTTTATACATGCAGTTCTTCATGAAATCGTAACAGAAATACAAAGAACACTTAGATCACGAACTCAAACATCCTTGGTCGCCACACTATTTCCCCTCATCTTCACAACAGAGAAATGAATATGGCTTGATTAACGAAGAGTCTCAAACATTTGTAGTAAGAGCCGCGCAAGCCAACATTTACGCATAACATAGTTATCCTAATTAATTTTTCGTCATTGCTTTTTAATTGCGAAGCAATCCATCAAAGTGGCAACATGTTGTATTTAAATTTAATATTTTAACCTCCCTTTTAGTTAATAAAGTCAATAGTAGACTACAATCGCGATTTACATCGTTGCACCAAAAAAACATTAATGACTGCATGAAAACTCCTCTAAAGATGGCGCGATTAAATCTGCTTAAACGTATCGTGTTTATAAACAAGCGAAATTATTCCACGTTTTAATATTCACTCTTTCTAGAATAGAAACCCTCCTGAGTTTTCTGTCATACGCCTTGGTGGCTTTAATACCCTTTAATTTGCTTGGCGATTTCAGAGCTTTTTGGATTAAGTATGCAAATATTATGAAGTTTCCTAAGAAGTTCAAGAGTACATATATATTCTAAGTTGTAGAATAGGTTATAAATACGTTATAGTATAATAGTGAATATATGAAAGATCATATATATGTTATAGTTAAGCTATAGGGATTTTGAATGTACTGTAGTTTAAAATTTCAAGGTGCATGTTTTATAGCAAAAGAGACTGATACAAATTGTACTGTTCTCTTCCCGATGATCATAAAATTACTCGAAACCTTCGCATTCAACGTCGATCGAAACACTTCCTAATTCGCTGAATGAGTCAAATGGTAAATTCGTATTGTTGTTTCTATATGCATGTATTCGTGTATCATGCAAGCTTGCTTTTGTCAATGAAGACTCTCGCATGTACAGAAAACTCCCACTAAGAAAGACATCACAGGTGTTATCGGTATTAGAAGTTGAACTTTGCTAATGAGACGGCTGCTCTGGTGCCTAATAGGACTCTGCAATATCAGTAAGGATAGAATTCATCAAATGTTTTGTCTCTGGGAACCAAGTAAACCGCGGTCATTGCAAGAAGTGTAGGTTTACAATGGAGTGCCTGTAAAGTGTGACTTAAGTGAAGTCTCTTTCAAGTATCTTTCGAAAAGAAATTCATACCATGAAAGGTCGGCATCTTTCACGACTTTTGGCTGTTGTCTCGAGAGTTACAAGTAGCTAAGAGCGGCGAAGGAACCGAAGCGGAAAAGGACCAATACCAACTGTAGCAGCCGGGTTATATGTCATCTAAAAACAACCGCTAATCGCCTCGTTCATTTCAAATTGTGCTGAGTAATGCTCCCTACGGTAGGGTCATTTTATACGTTCGAAACTCTTCCGTGTAGGAGTTGTTCGGACAAAAGGCTGGAACTCGACACAACATATGGAAACAAAGAGCCACCAGTGATAACAGGAATTTGTCTGTGCTATTATGTAAAATCGTGTTCGTGTTAGAACTCAACCATGACTAAAATTATCAATAACACCACGAAAATTTATTTATCGTTATTAAGAATTCAACATGTACAAGTTATTAAAGTTATGGAAAGTCGAGATTGTGACAAACAAGACTATTCACAGAAAGGCGCGTTTTCTAGTTTGTACCTTCCCTTAAAAAATACGATACGTAGATTTTGCAAGAAATCTTTGAATGCTATTTATTCTTTTGAGTAAATGGAGTGTTCAGGCAGTTTAATTCAGTTTTTTTCTGAAAGAACTAGGCGTATGAATGGAATAAGCAGCTTTCTTGACGTGCAATTCAAGCGAAGCATCGTGATATTCATCGGTTATGCTTAAGAGTACCACGCGCTTTCATTAGGATGTTTTGTTGGACTTCTTTATAAGTGCATTCACTTGGCGGTTTTCCTTCGACATGACAAAAATAATGGGTCATTCAAGCCTCAAAACAATCCTTCAAGAAAGTTAATAACACTTAAATGTGGGCGGTTGAAAATCGCTGAATCATTTCTCGTAAAGGAGACTCGACAATTTTGGTCACGGTAAATGAGTTTGAAGAGTTGTTTTGATGAAATGGTTCCGACTATATTTCGAGAATTCTTGTCCAAATTTTGGATTTTAGAAAAACTTCTTAGGATTCTTCGTACCACCTTTTTACCTCTAATGACTGAAGACACAAATGCACTCATTCTCCAAGGCGACAGGTTTTGTTGATGTTTTTCTTGTGAGTAACGTATTTGCATAATTGATATCACACGACAACATAGGTCAAATATGAAGGTGCGCTGATACCGAGAGACAGTGCTTGATATTATGTTTATAACCACTATGGTATAAATAGCGTGACTATCGCCTGAAAAAAAAGAGACTGACAACAAAGTTCCTTCAGCATAGAATCTAAGTTCCTATGTCTAAATTGCACAAAAATGTCTCAATACTTTTTATCCATCTTTTTATTAGTGAAACTCGAGGGAGAAGAACATAAAATTTTGCCCTATTTATGTTTTTATATACTGGAATCGTTACGATCTTCGTTCTTCTATAAGTTCTCCAAAGACGTTTTCCAGTTCTTCATGCACTTGAAAGGACCATAGTTATTATGAAAGGACCAAAGATGATCTAAAAGAATTTGCATGACCATGTAGCTTGCACTCGTGAAAAAAATCAATTGTGATGGGATCAACAAAAAGGTATTTATAAATCAATTATTAAGAAGATTTATTAATTCGGGGCGAAGGGTCATGAAGACTTGATTGTGGTTGATGGTCTAGTGCTTCGACAAATAGTTCGATTATACAAGGATGGAAAACTATGCAAAAAGATAAGACTTTTCATAGTCATATGAATTAGTTATCAGGAGCTGTATATTCAGTTGCGTTAATCATTTAATTATATTTCGCCCCTTGGGTGTAACAACTTCAGTGCATGTCACGGAATGGCCTATATTTAACATTTAACGTCCATTTTCTTCGTTCGACGCCGGTTCGTGACCCCGTGCAATCTCTCTCCAACTACCTTTGTTTTCGGGGGTTTAGCAAGAACCTACTTTAGTTGTTTTTCTACCTCAGTAAACTATGATTTGGAATTCTCCCTGGTTTCAAAAGGTAGTTTTGTACATCACAAAAGGATTTAACACTATCTGTATATCGTGACTGAGGTCTTGCAGTCACAGGTATTGTATTGAAGGGGCAGCATCTTGAGTATGACTTACGAAGATAATAATTGTAATAATAATAATAATGCAGCTGCATTTAGCCACATTAATGGAGACCTAATAGTAATTGTCTAGTTTTGTTTCGATAACTGAACCAACGTAGAAAATATCGAAGGAGTGGTACCATGGGTTAGGTAAGGGTTGCTGCAATAACTATACCAGTGCAGACATTATGGAAGCAGTCTTATCAGGGGTCAGGCATAGTCGTGGTTTTGATTTCAAAATGGAAAAGTCCGGCAGACTATTTCATACCGCGCACTCTTGCCTTGAAAAAATTTCCAGCAACTAGTAAGTAATCATCCCTTGCTCTCCAGTGATCAATTCGAGTAACATCATCTAATGCGTAACGTTGGTGTTTGATGTGCATTTCTTGTACGAGGTAAGGTTCTTAGTCATGGTTTTAGCACCGTTTGGACCTAAAAAGACAAAGCAGCAAAATTGCCGTGATAGTGCTCGTTTTTAAGTTGAGTTCAATTCAGGTTTTAAGTGCTTTTTAACTAGCAATCCTAATAGATTTTCTTTCAAAAATTCTATCAGTTCAGTAATGGATGTCAATACTGTGCTTGGTGTCGGAGAGGAGTCAAAGCCAAGTCAGTTCTTTACGCTTCAACTCGGAAAAGGAAAGAAAAGGTGTTTGGGGGCTATTTTTAAATTTTAAGATATTATAGGAATGTTCGTCAAAATATAATCTTTATCCTGATTTATTGCGACACTAAATTGTGTCTGAGTGATCACCAAGTTTCTATTTAGAATGCTACATGTATGAACCTGATGGCCATGCATAAAGTACTGTAGTTCTCTAACAGATTAATGAAAACTATTTCAATAAAAATCGGTAATTGCTCTTTTTTACATCATTTCCAACCAAATACATAACTTAACTTGACCCTTGCTTAGTGAAATTTAAGCGAAAGGGAATTGTTCTTAAAGTGAATCTTATGTACTATGCCTGCCAAAAAAGCTACGTCAATCTACAATATCCAAGCTTAAAGCTAATAAAACAACTCCGACCTAAAATGCCTAGAATACCGGTACTTCATATTATATATTGCCCAAGCAAACTAACAGATGTTTTCCTATTGACGTAAACGTCCGAGATCGGTTACTTTTATCTCTAGACAAAGAGCAACAATAGCAAAGTTATATTGAACCGTGTGTCAGTTCAACGCAGTCATTAAAATCTACCCCGATATTAAACAACAAGAGTATGCAAATCACATGGATTCTGTCCAGAGACAGTGTCAACATGATATTTTACTTAGTACCGCCGGGACGAAGATAGTAGATGTTTACGGTGCATAACGCCCTTAGCAATGTAAGCAAGCACACAATCGAGGAACCAAGGTTCTCGGTTAGCAANCGTTTTAATATTCACTCTTTCTAGAATAGAAACCCTCCTGAGTTTTCTGTCATACGCCTTGGTGGCTTTAATACCCTTTAATTTGCTTGGCGATTTCAGAGCTTTTTGGATTAAGTATGCAAATATTATGAAGTTTCCTAAGAAGTTCAAGAGTACATATATATTCTAAGTTGTAGAATAGGTTATAAATACGTTATAGTATAATAGTGAATATATGAAAGATCATATATATGTTATAGTTAAGCTATAGGGATTTTGAATGTACTGTAGTTTAAAATTTCAAGGTGCATGTTTTATAGCAAAAGAGACTGATACAAATTGTACTGTTCTCTTCCCGATGATCATAAAATTACTCGAAACCTTCGCATTCAACGTCGATCGAAACACTTCCTAATTCGCTGAATGAGTCAAATGGTAAATTCGTATTGTTGTTTCTATATGCATGTATTCGTGTATCATGCAAGCTTGCTTTTGTCAATGAAGACTCTCGCATGTACAGAAAACTCCCACTAAGAAAGACATCACAGGTGTTATCGGTATTAGAAGTTGAACTTTGCTAATGAGACGGCTGCTCTGGTGCCTAATAGGACTCTGCAATATCAGTAAGGATAGAATTCATCAAATGTTTTGTCTCTGGGAACCAAGTAAACCGCGGTCATTGCAAGAAGTGTAGGTTTACAATGGAGTGCCTGTAAAGTGTGACTTAAGTGAAGTCTCTTTCAAGTATCTTTCGAAAAGAAATTCATACCATGAAAGGTCGGCATCTTTCACGACTTTTGGCTGTTGTCTCGAGAGTTACAAGTAGCTAAGAGCGGCGAAGGAACCGAAGCGGAAAAGGACCAATACCAACTGTAGCAGCCGGGTTATATGTCATCTAAAAACAACCGCTAATCGCCTCGTTCATTTCAAATTGTGCTGAGTAATGCTCCCTACGGTAGGGTCATTTTATACGTTCGAAACTCTTCCGTGTAGGAGTTGTTCGGACAAAAGGCTGGAACTCGACACAACATATGGAAACAAAGAGCCACCAGTGATAACAGGAATTTGTCTGTGCTATTATGTAAAATCGTGTTCGTGTTAGAACTCAACCATGACTAAAATTATCAATAACACCACGAAAATTTATTTATCGTTATTAAGAATTCAACATGTACAAGTTATTAAAGTTATGGAAAGTCGAGATTGTGACAAACAAGACTATTCACAGAAAGGCGCGTTTTCTAGTTTGTACCTTCCCTTAAAAAATACGATACGTAGATTTTGCAAGAAATCTTTGAATGCTATTTATTCTTTTGAGTAAATGGAGTGTTCAGGCAGTTTAATTCAGTTTTTTTCTGAAAGAACTAGGCGTATGAATGGAATAAGCAGCTTTCTTGACGTGCAATTCAAGCGAAGCATCGTGATATTCATCGGTTATGCTTAAGAGTACCACGCGCTTTCATTAGGATGTTTTGTTGGACTTCTTTATAAGTGCATTCACTTGGCGGTTTTCCTTCGACATGACAAAAATAATGGGTCATTCAAGCCTCAAAACAATCCTTCAAGAAAGTTAATAACACTTAAATGTGGGCGGTTGAAAATCGCTGAATCATTTCTCGTAAAGGAGACTCGACAATTTTGGTCACGGTAAATGAGTTTGAAGAGTTGTTTTGATGAAATGGTTCCGACTATATTTCGAGAATTCTTGTCCAAATTTTGGATTTTAGAAAAACTTCTTAGGATTCTTCGTACCACCTTTTTACCTCTAATGACTGAAGACACAAATGCACTCATTCTCCAAGGCGACAGGTTTTGTTGATGTTTTTCTTGTGAGTAACGTATTTGCATAATTGATATCACACGACAACATAGGTCAAATATGAAGGTGCGCTGATACCGAGAGACAGTGCTTGATATTATGTTTATAACCACTATGGTATAAATAGCGTGACTATCGCCTGAAAAAAAAGAGACTGACAACAAAGTTCCTTCAGCATAGAATCTAAGTTCCTATGTCTAAATTGCACAAAAATGTCTCAATACTTTTTATCCATCTTTTTATTAGTGAAACTCGAGGGAGAAGAACATAAAATTTTGCCCTATTTATGTTTTTATATACTGGAATCGTTACGATCTTCGTTCTTCTATAAGTTCTCCAAAGACGTTTTCCAGTTCTTCATGCACTTGAAAGGACCATAGTTATTATGAAAGGACCAAAGATGATCTAAAAGAATTTGCATGACCATGTAGCTTGCACTCGTGAAAAAAATCAATTGTGATGGGATCAACAAAAAGGTATTTATAAATCAATTATTAAGAAGATTTATTAATTCGGGGCGAAGGGTCATGAAGACTTGATTGTGGTTGATGGTCTAGTGCTTCGACAAATAGTTCGATTATACAAGGATGGAAAACTATGCAAAAAGATAAGACTTTTCATAGTCATATGAATTAGTTATCAGGAGCTGTATATTCAGTTGCGTTAATCATTTAATTATATTTCGCCCCTTGGGTGTAACAACTTCAGTGCATGTCACGGAATGGCCTATATTTAACATTTAACGTCCATTTTCTTCGTTCGACGCCGGTTCGTGACCCCGTGCAATCTCTCTCCAACTACCTTTGTTTTCGGGGGTTTAGCAAGAACCTACTTTAGTTGTTTTTCTACCTCAGTAAACTATGATTTGGAATTCTCCCTGGTTTCAAAAGGTAGTTTTGTACATCACAAAAGGATTTAACACTATCTGTATATCGTGACTGAGGTCTTGCAGTCACAGGTATTGTATTGAAGGGGCAGCATCTTGAGTATGACTTACGAAGATAATAATTGTAATAATAATAATAATGCAGCTGCATTTAGCCACATTAATGGAGACCTAATAGTAATTGTCTAGTTTTGTTTCGATAACTGAACCAACGTAGAAAATATCGAAGGAGTGGTACCATGGGTTAGGTAAGGGTTGCTGCAATAACTATACCAGTGCAGACATTATGGAAGCAGTCTTATCAGGGGTCAGGCATAGTCGTGGTTTTGATTTCAAAATGGAAAAGTCCGGCAGACTATTTCATACCGCGCACTCTTGCCTTGAAAAAATTTCCAGCAACTAGTAAGTAATCATCCCTTGCTCTCCAGTGATCAATTCGAGTAACATCATCTAATGCGTAACGTTGGTGTTTGATGTGCATTTCTTGTACGAGGTAAGGTTCTTAGTCATGGTTTTAGCACCGTTTGGACCTAAAAAGACAAAGCAGCAAAATTGCCGTGATAGTGCTCGTTTTTAAGTTGAGTTCAATTCAGGTTTTAAGTGCTTTTTAACTAGCAATCCTAATAGATTTTCTTTCAAAAATTCTATCAGTTCAGTAATGGATGTCAATACTGTGCTTGGTGTCGGAGAGGAGTCAAAGCCAAGTCAGTTCTTTACGCTTCAACTCGGAAAAGGAAAGAAAAGGTGTTTGGGGGCTATTTTTAAATTTTAAGATATTATAGGAATGTTCGTCAAAATATAATCTTTATCCTGATTTATTGCGACACTAAATTGTGTCTGAGTGATCACCAAGTTTCTATTTAGAATGCTACATGTATGAACCTGATGGCCATGCATAAAGTACTGTAGTTCTCTAACAGATTAATGAAAACTATTTCAATAAAAATCGGTAATTGCTCTTTTTTACATCATTTCCAACCAAATACATAACTTAACTTGACCCTTGCTTAGTGAAATTTAAGCGAAAGGGAATTGTTCTTAAAGTGAATCTTATGTACTATGCCTGCCAAAAAAGCTACGTCAATCTACAATATCCAAGCTTAAAGCTAATAAAACAACTCCGACCTAAAATGCCTAGAATACCGGTACTTCATATTATATATTGCCCAAGCAAACTAACAGATGTTTTCCTATTGACGTAAACGTCCGAGATCGGTTACTTTTATCTCTAGACAAAGAGCAACAATAGCAAAGTTATATTGAACCGTGTGTCAGTTCAACGCAGTCATTAAAATCTACCCCGATATTAAACAACAAGAGTATGCAAATCACATGGATTCTGTCCAGAGACAGTGTCAACATGATATTTTACTTAGTACCGCCGGGACGAAGATAGTAGATGTTTACGGTGCATAACGCCCTTAGCAATGTAAGCAAGCACACAATCGAGGAACCAAGGTTCTCGGTTAGCAACTTTTTCAGCAAATGCAACAGAGAAGATATTTGTCTTGGATTCCAAAGAACCTGGAACTAAGGCAAGTCATAGTCATGTGATAGCTTCGGATTTTCTAGTGACACCTATTTGCTTAATTTCTTTCTTAGTTTGCAGAATGATTCTTAGAACTTTTGTGCCTTATGTTTCAAAACGGTTGCTTAATGCTTAATGGTTAATTTGCAGAACGTTTCAGTTTTTGTACACTGATTTTGAGCTTGCTTGTTTTACTACTCCGCGCGAATTCAGTGCAGTCTTCTTTGACCGTCTACCGTTTAGCGAGTAATTTAAAGCATGTGCTTAAAACACTTGTTATTTTTCATGTGAATTTTGCAAGATTACATTTTGTCAATAGCATTGTAGAAGATGTAACGAGGTTCCCAGTTGAATAATATCTCTATAATCAGACCCGTTGCCGACACAATTGCGTATAAGTCAGTCCCTCTTCTATGCTCAAACCGCAGAGATTTCTACGTCAATGTGTCGAACGCAAAGTAATGGTAAAATATTTTCTTCACAAAAGGGGCCTAAAACCGAATTGCTTCAAAACAAACACAAATCCTGGATGTCGAGTTCAATAAAATCAAAGTGTCAGGAATGCAGCATGTTCCGCCGGTCTCAGCTGAGCCAATATCGTTAAGGTCTCAAATCAACATAACAGGGCAAATTCTGAAGTTCACACCACATAAGAATCCAAAATCGACATCCATACCCTCGAAGCTGCTTTATACATTTTGTTTCGTTCTTGCTGGAAAAATTTGGTATTCAGTAATGCGTTTTATTGATCAATTCATTCATTTTCTTAAATTTCCCTTGTGAATTTATTACAAAGAGATAATGAATAGTTAAGGATTAATCACCCTGGATTAAGGAATGACCCTGGGGCGTTTTATTTGGCTGAGAATAAATTAATTTCGCGTAAAGAAGCCGGAGTGAACATTGCACAGGAAAATTACTCTTGCGATATTTAAGTGAACAAATAAATCAAAGTTCAGTTAGAAGTTCGGGACTCTCCTTGAAAACCACAATTTGGTGTCTAAGTTATGAGATCAAAAGAACGGTTCACCAATGAGAAATTGTCTCGATGCGTGAATATACTCTCTCAGCTCTAGTAGAGGAAATATGTGGAAGTCGATAAGGAGAATTTGTACATTGAAATCTGTGAGGAATGCTGTGGTTTTCACTTAGAATATAGCCAGGACAAGGTGCTAGTTATGATTCACCGGGAACGATGAAAACAAAACACATAGTTGTTTTAGCCTAATGACAAATGTCGTATCGACTTACTGGTTCCCGGCGAGAGTGTGTTATTGATGTGATATTGCCCGCCTGGAATTCACTGACGCTTTCATCTACAAAGAAAAGAAAACCACTCAAGAAAATAATAGAAGAAATTCGCTGACAAGAATGTGGATTCATTTGAAAAGGAAAGAGACTAAATGAATGTTTAAAAGTAAAGTGATCGGTTGTACAATCACGTTTTTGAAGCTATCATTTTTTTTTAGTAGTTTTAAACCTTCAGTATGGGGAAATTTTTGCATAAAGCTAATGGGCATGAAATTGTGAGTCAAGAAGGCAATATATTTATTTTCTCAGGAAGGTTTTCTTGCCAGTAATGGTGCAAAAGGGGTAAAGGGCAGAGGGCACATAGATTTTTTTTCTTGTTGTTGTTGTTGTTTTTTTTCTTTCAACGTAAATCCGTTTTAAACCGGACGCGGGGTGGGGGCGTCTGCTGGTTACGTAGTGTACAGGATATTGTTCGGATATCAAAGTGGTTTTCAGTTTTCACGTAAAAAGAAACTAGACCCCACGGCGATACTTTCCTTGTTCAGTGAGGCAAGAATGCCTGAACAGAGAACTCAAATGCTGGTAAGAAATACGCTGAAAAGTTTTTCTTCGAAATGCCCAAACGGAAAATTATTCATTCCTTTGAAAAGAGTTTTGTAGTGTAATTTGGATTGTGTTTTTCATTTCACGTCAATCCTTGTCACTTCCTAAGGATGACTTAAAAATGACTCGCAAGAAAACATTTTCTCTCTAGGACAACGAAGGTTTCGCTGAAATTGACACAATCCCTGCAGGTTTATTATACAAGGAAATCTCTAAAAATCAACATTAATAACCAGCCTTCTTGATTTTATCCGTTTTTATTTTCAAATGATACCTTTCCGGAACATGCTTAAAAGCATACACGCCCACGGAAAGAAGTGGAGATCAAAGAGCAAAAAAAAAAAAAAGAAAGAAAGTGTCACTATTGAGACAAGGGGCAAACAAATAAACGCTGTAAACTTATGCAAAATTGTAACAAAAAACAGCAGTGTTTTTATGGTCGTGTGTAGGCAGTGCCCAAACGACATTTGATGCAATAACAAATTAGATATAACGACTGTATTCATGCTGTAAACACACTTTGTAGTTAAAATAACTTAAGCACGTGAGCTGTGCGAGACGGCGACGCCAAGGACGACCATAGCAAATCATAAACTCAGACTACACCATGGAATTCCGTAGCTAGATGGATCTGTTCAGTACGTGTATCGGTCTTAAAACTTGCGCAAGCTCAAGTAATAAAGGCGTCCAATTTTCTAAACGGAAATACGAAAAATTATTCGAAGTAGTTAATGGTCATTTCACTTCTTTGATTCGCGGAGGATGGCCAAGAAATGTTCCAAAGTTTATAACGCACGTGCATAGCTCTTGTTCTGCTCAAATGACCTTTTGTTTGGTGACTGGTGTAAGGTTCAGAATACAGTCTTGGTTTTCTCAAAGCTCCCTATACATCATTTACTGCAAGCTTCGCTTTCAATAAGTGGAAACTTTTGTTACTTTTTTCTTAATCTGTCAGTTTTTCAATCTTGTATATAAAGTTGGAACTTCTTAAGAGTACGTTCAAAAAGAACGACTAGTTTACCATTCAGTATTTATTGCATTCACTGGGCTTCCCTCAGCTGCATTATATTTATAACGAGGTCTCTTTTTATGTTCCTTGATGAAAAGAAACAAGGAAATTATCGAAACACTACAAAATCTGCAGCTAATCTTCTTGAGCTATCAACGATTTAGCAGCTTAGCTACGAAAAGGCGTCTTCTAATGGCATTAATCCTTGAAAACCCGAAAAATAAGAATTCTAAAAGTGCATTAGGAACGATTTAGCAGCTTAGGTACGACAAGTCCGTTCTAACGGTACTTACTCCTTGAAAATCCGCAAAATGAGAATTCTAAAAATGCATTAGGTTATCAGTTGATGTCTTTATTCTAAATCATATTGAATATTATAATTTCAAAGCTTGCACAAAACCATGTTATCGACGCGAAATTAAAAATGTTATCCGGTAAGGACCGACAAAGCAGTCCGCTCATTGATTCATATCCTTTTGCCATCCCTAACATAAATTATAAGGACTCATTCGCTTTGCTGTGGTTTTCTTTATTATCCTTGGAGTAATTTAACTTCGTTTGCAGCGCCGCCGTGGTCGCTAAGTATGATTTGACAAAATGAGAAGGAGAAATCATATCAACCTAACAGGAAATCCTTTCACGGCCATTAAACTACGCAAATCTCTTGAATGGGATTCTTTTGTATAAAGCTAAGCCGCAGGCTGATGAGTTGGCTAATGTAACTGTCAGTCGGAAGAAACAATGAGAACACTTATACATTTATTCTGATACATGAATCAAAAGATACTTATCAGCTGAAAGAGTCACATCAGGGTCGCACTCAGAGTCACGTCCAATATCTTGTTAGTGTTATGAAAAAATAACTCTTCGCCGACGGCGAAGATTCGGGGCCGCAGTTACGAAGATAAGCAAGACTGGTAAACTATTCCACAAGGTAAATATTTTAAGATTCGTTCTGTTACGCCTTTGTGCGCTGACATGATCATTTTTCAAAAAGTTCAAAGCCTTGGCTAAATTCTGCGGTTGGGAAGATTGGCGAGGCTGATAAAATATTCCACAAGGTAAATACGGCAAGATTTGTTCCTAGGAACCAGGAATGATCAGATTTTCACACCTTTGGCTATTTTTTGCAAGGTTAGAAAAGTCAGAAAACCTTTTGTATCAGCGGAAACGCGCCGTCTATTTACTGTAACTGCTGCGAAAGACTCAATGAAACAATCACGATGGTCTGACAGATTTCTGCAACAAAAGTGACTTAAATTTTAATCGATAACCAACAAAATTAGAAAACACCTTCGAAGGAGGGTCAGGCGTCTACGTAAAATATGAGAAAATTCAAATGTCTATCACCAAATTAGAGTAAAAGTTAAGATAAGGGCGTCAAGAAACCAGTGATGAATAATCAACCTTCAAAGCTGACCAAGAAGTTGCAACTTGATTGGCTTTTGGGTCTCTTAGCAACACTCTCTGCATTTCACACCAATTCAATGGACCTTTTCCTTTTTTCACTATAATTCTTAACTACTTTTAGAATTCAGTAGAATTAGACTTTTTCAAACGAAACGTCTGTTTACTTGATGAAAAACGCGGGCACTGTTCCTATTTTTGGCTTAACCGGCTCGTGCTGAAAAACATGTTAATCCGCTTATAACCTTAGAAACGTTTATGTTACGTCAGCCATATTTAGAAGTATTTAAACAGAAATATCCGATTTGTAATGACTCAAAATAACTTTTTGCAATATTTATTGAAAAAGGAACCGTCCAAGGTGCACCCAGAGGAAATTACGTTTCCCTTTTATTTAATAATTAAACGAGATTAACACGAAAATTACTGGTTCACTGAAAACCAATATGATGTATGATGTAAAAGAAATTTACTGGGGACTCAAACAGAAACACTATGCATTATTGTGAACGCAAGGTTGACAAAATGTCACGGGTTTCACAAGTCAGGGTTGAGGACTGAAGGTCAAACACCGCGTAAATCTGAAAATACGCTCACAACAAGATTATATTTTTCTTTCGGAAAAAATATAAATTGGCAAATCCAACTTCCCAAACGTATATTGTGTAAGGTCCTGCTGTAAACAATTTAACTGACTCAAAACGAGCCAATCAAATGCAGTCTTGTTTTGCAGTTTTCCACAATTCAGAAATAATCTTCTCTCACTTTCTATTTAAAATATTAAAGGTTGGCACCAAAGTTAACATTTTTTGTCACAAACTGGTGTTCTCGATAACAACAAATCATGAGCAATCCTGTTGTCGATGCGATCCCGACTGCGTGCGACAAAATATAAAGGGATTTTAAGGCAGGGGTTGATAGTCGAATAAAGCCATCGAAGTAAAGGTTTTGTCAATTTATTCTACATTGTATACACAGAGGATATTTCAAGGCCGCTTGGAGATACGAAATTTCTCTTCGATTGTTGAAAAATATTCAGTTCACGAGTGAAATATTTTTAAACACGAGAGATAATTTCGTATTTCCAAGCGGCCATGTAATGTTCTATTAATTACATTAACACCAATGAAATGCCAAACAATTTGACTTTCGCTGCGAAACTGCGCGATTTATTGTATGACCATAGCAACGGTGATCTTTTCACATGTGAAGATAACATGTCATTTTAACGTGTGAAAATATCATGTTTTGCGGGAAAGAGCACCTGGTATTTCATTGGTGTTCACATAATAAATCAAAATTCAATTTTTTTGTTTACTTGCTCCTTTGCTGAATCGAAAGATTACATTTTCGTCCAGAGAATCGGTTTCATTTTTTTTGGCGCAAACTAAACAAGCGTGTTGCTATCCTTCCAGTAGCAAGGACAAGGACGAGCTTTGCAACTGACTTTTAACTGCCAAACTGACAAATGGGCCAGTATCTCACTCGCAAACCAACCTAAATCTTGGTAATCACTAAAGCTGTGTGACGGAAAACGGATAGATGACAAAACGGATTTGAAATGACACCTGACATTTTAGTCTCCTATCCATATCCTTGCAATAAGGAAATTATTATCTTATCATCACTTCTTTGAGATTTGTGTCAGGAAAACCTGTAACACGCAGAAATCTAGAAAAACCGACCATCCTCTGACCATGCATCGAACACGGACGTAAATCTCGCATTTTGCGAGTGAATCGAGATATTTTGTTTATAAATATAAACGTAATTTTTTTGTTTTCCTCGCAGGCAACCAGAGAGTGAGAATCAAGGATCAATAATATTTGGGTTGCTCCAAAGCTTACCATCCTCACAAGGTACACAGGGCGGCGTCTTGACCAAAGTTACGGTGTTTTTGGGAGTCTAATAACCGTGAATCAATCAGTCATTTGACAAGAAAACTCAACAAGACAAAGAAAAAGCAAACTGAACTTGGGCATTAGTTGATTACACAAACAGCAACAGCACGCTGACTTCCGAGAAAAATCCCTTAGCAAGGAAAGTGTCAGGCCATTAATAACAGCCAAGCAACCTCCTCTTCCTTTCGTAAAAATTGGGCCGGTGAAATATGAATAACACAACTGAGCACAATTTTACCATAGACTTGGAGAAACAACTTTTTCTGGCCTATTACGTCATTTTGATCGTTTTTACAGTAGCGGGAAACACACTGGTTTGTGTAGCCATCTATGTCGACGTGCGCCTGCGCAGTCCCACCAACTGGTTCATTGCGTCACTGGCGGTCAGCGACTTGTTTTACGGGCTCGCTGGCCTACCATTCCGAATTGCGTCGAATGTGACGCCGATGACGAGCGTTGCGGTGTGTTCAGCCTGGATCTGGATGGACATGGTGTGCGCTGCCGCCTCTATGGCAAATCTAGCGGTGATATCCGTGGACAGATACATGAAAATAACCAAGCCGTTCTGTTACCATAGAAACATGACCAAGAAACGTTCTCTGCTGGCTATATGTGGAGTGTGGGTGTACGCAGTCACTTTGGCTACATTCGCGATCATTAAGTGGCCCGGGGCAAAAGGAGTGGTCATCGACCATGACCACGGCCTTTGCCGCAACGACAACAAAGTGTTCTACACGGTAGCTAACATAGTGGCTTTCCTGTCGCCGCTTGTTGTGGTCATCGCTAGTTACTCCCTGATCTTCCGCACCGCATTAATACAGTTCAACAAAATGAAACACTTGATTGTCAGCACTAGCACTAAAGAAGACAGGCGGAAGCAGAAGAGCGTAGTACGGGACTTCAAAGCCACCAAGACGTTAGCTGTGGTGCTCGGTACGTTCACCGTCTGCTGGGCGCCGTTTTTCATTATGTTCACAATTTCTCAATACGATCCGTCTTACCTGATGCACCTTCCGAAAGACGTTGCCATGGCGTTCATTTACCTGTTTTTCTTGATTTTACCAAACCTTAACAGTGCTTGCAATCCCGTGATTTACGCGTACTTTAACGCCGAATTTCGGCGCTCGTTTAGAAAGATCATGTGGTCTTCTTGTGATGGACAAAACCAGGACAGCCTTAAAAAAAGAAGACGAAGTTCAGTAACGAGCTTTTTTCAAATGACTTTCGCTCGACGCAACAGCCCTCAAGCGGTCGGAAACGACGACAAGAATCACAACTCTCCCGACGATGAGAAGGCTTTCCTCAATGGGGACACCACAATTACGCAAGTGTGAAGTGGCACCACGGACGGTCACGCAGTAATTGCTTGAAGTGTAACGCACCAACGCGAACGGTCACGCATGTACCAACAATTTTTCAGTCAAGGGTAACGCAATACAAGGAACAGTTATACAGGAATTACTAGACGTGTAACGCAACACCTCAAACGGTTACACAATCAGCATTTTCCATTCGACAAAAAATTCTGGTTTGACTTAACGGAAATTTCCAGTGACAAATGACACAAGATTTTCCAGAATTTCCGGAAAAGAGGACAACCTCGCGAGGTATACCAAAATTTTTGGTAATTTCTTACCGGGAATTTCTGTTCCTAGAAACTTAACCAGAAAATTTCCGTACAATTTCCCCCCTATCTGTGAGGAATGCTGTGGTTTTCACTTAGAATATAGCCAGGACAAGGTGCTAGTTATGATTCACCGGGAACGATGAAAACAAAACACATAGTTGTTTTAGCCTAATGACAAATGTCGTATCGACTTACTGGTTCCCGGCGAGAGTGTGTTATTGATGTGATATTGCCCGCCTGGAATTCACTGACGCTTTCATCTACAAAGAAAAGAAAACCACTCAAGAAAATAATAGAAGAAATTCGCTGACAAGAATGTGGATTCATTTGAAAAGGAAAGAGACTAAATGAATGTTTAAAAGTAAAGTGATCGGTTGTACAATCACGTTTTTGAAGCTATCATTTTTTTTTAGTAGTTTTAAACCTTCAGTATGGGGAAATTTTTGCATAAAGCTAATGGGCATGAAATTGTGAGTCAAGAAGGCAATATATTTATTTTCTCAGGAAGGTTTTCTTGCCAGTAATGGTGCAAAAGGGGTAAAGGGCAGAGGGCACATAGATTTTTTTTCTTGTTGTTGTTGTTGTTTTTTTTCTTTCAACGTAAATCCGTTTTAAACCGGACGCGGGGTGGGGGCGTCTGCTGGTTACGTAGTGTACAGGATATTGTTCGGATATCAAAGTGGTTTTCAGTTTTCACGTAAAAAGAAACTAGACCCCACGGCGATACTTTCCTTGTTCAGTGAGGCAAGAATGCCTGAACAGAGAACTCAAATGCTGGTAAGAAATACGCTGAAAAGTTTTTCTTCGAAATGCCCAAACGGAAAATTATTCATTCCTTTGAAAAGAGTTTTGTAGTGTAATTTGGATTGTGTTTTTCATTTCACGTCAATCCTTGTCACTTCCTAAGGATGACTTAAAAATGACTCGCAAGAAAACATTTTCTCTCTAGGACAACGAAGGTTTCGCTGAAATTGACACAATCCCTGCAGGTTTATTATACAAGGAAATCTCTAAAAATCAACATTAATAACCAGCCTTCTTGATTTTATCCGTTTTTATTTTCAAATGATACCTTTCCGGAACATGCTTAAAAGCATACACGCCCACGGAAAGAAGTGGAGATCAAAGAGCAAAAAAAAAAAAAAGAAAGAAAGTGTCACTATTGAGACAAGGGGCAAACAAATAAACGCTGTAAACTTATGCAAAATTGTAACAAAAAACAGCAGTGTTTTTATGGTCGTGTGTAGGCAGTGCCCAAACGACATTTGATGCAATAACAAATTAGATATAACGACTGTATTCATGCTGTAAACACACTTTGTAGTTAAAATAACTTAAGCACGTGAGCTGTGCGAGACGGCGACGCCAAGGACGACCATAGCAAATCATAAACTCAGACTACACCATGGAATTCCGTAGCTAGATGGATCTGTTCAGTACGTGTATCGGTCTTAAAACTTGCGCAAGCTCAAGTAATAAAGGCGTCCAATTTTCTAAACGGAAATACGAAAAATTATTCGAAGTAGTTAATGGTCATTTCACTTCTTTGATTCGCGGAGGATGGCCAAGAAATGTTCCAAAGTTTATAACGCACGTGCATAGCTCTTGTTCTGCTCAAATGACCTTTTGTTTGGTGACTGGTGTAAGGTTCAGAATACAGTCTTGGTTTTCTCAAAGCTCCCTATACATCATTTACTGCAAGCTTCGCTTTCAATAAGTGGAAACTTTTGTTACTTTTTTCTTAATCTGTCAGTTTTTCAATCTTGTATATAAAGTTGGAACTTCTTAAGAGTACGTTCAAAAAGAACGACTAGTTTACCATTCAGTATTTATTGCATTCACTGGGCTTCCCTCAGCTGCATTATATTTATAACGAGGTCTCTTTTTATGTTCCTTGATGAAAAGAAACAAGGAAATTATCGAAACACTACAAAATCTGCAGCTAATCTTCTTGAGCTATCAACGATTTAGCAGCTTAGCTACGAAAAGGCGTCTTCTAATGGCATTAATCCTTGAAAACCCGAAAAATAAGAATTCTAAAAGTGCATTAGGAACGATTTAGCAGCTTAGGTACGACAAGTCCGTTCTAACGGTACTTACTCCTTGAAAATCCGCAAAATGAGAATTCTAAAAATGCATTAGGTTATCAGTTGATGTCTTTATTCTAAATCATATTGAATATTATAATTTCAAAGCTTGCACAAAACCATGTTATCGACGCGAAATTAAAAATGTTATCCGGTAAGGACCGACAAAGCAGTCCGCTCATTGATTCATATCCTTTTGCCATCCCTAACATAAATTATAAGGACTCATTCGCTTTGCTGTGGTTTTCTTTATTATCCTTGGAGTAATTTAACTTCGTTTGCAGCGCCGCCGTGGTCGCTAAGTATGATTTGACAAAATGAAAAGGAGAAATCATATCAACCTAACAGGAAATCCTTTCACGGCCATTAAACTACGCAAATCTCTTGAATGGGATTCTTTTGTATAAAGCTAAGCCGCAGGCTGATGAGTTGGCTAATGTAACTGTCAGTCGGAAGAAACAATGAGAACACTTATACATTTATTCTGATACATGAATCAAAAGATACTTATCAGCTGAAAGAGTCACATCAGGGTCGCACTCAGAGTCACGTCCAATATCTTGTTAGTGTTATGAAAAAATAACTCTTCGCCGACGGCGAAGATTCGGGGCCGCAGTTACGAAGATAAGCAAGACTGGTAAACTATTCCACAAGGTAAATATTTTAAGATTCGTTCTGTTACGCCTTTGTGCGCTGACATGATCATTTTTCAAAAAGTTCAAAGCCTTGGCTAAATTCTGCGGTTGGGAAGATTGGCGAGGCTGATAAAATATTCCACAAGGTAAATACGGCAAGATTTGTTCCTAGGAACCAGGAATGATCAGATTTTCACACCTTTGGCTATTTTTTGCAAGGTTAGAAAAGTCAGAAAACCTTTTGTATCAGCGGAAACGCGCCGTCTATTTACTGTAACTGCTGCGAAAGACTCAATGAAACAATCACGATGGTCTGACAGATTTCTGCAACAAAAGTGACTTAAATTTTAATCGATAACCAACAAAATTAGAAAACACCTTCGAAGGAGGGTCAGGCGTCTACGTAAAATATGAGAAAATTCAAATGTCTATCACCAAATTAGAGTAAAAGTTAAGATAAGGGCGTCAAGAAACCAGTGATGAATAATCAACCTTCAAAGCTGACCAAGAAGTTGCAACTTGATTGGCTTTTGGGTCTCTTAGCAACACTCTCTGCATTTCACACCAATTCAATGGACCTTTTCCTTTTTTCACTATAATTCTTAACTACTTTTAGAATTCAGTAGAATTAGACTTTTTCAAACGAAACGTCTGTTTACTTGATGAAAAACGCGGGCACTGTTCCTATTTTTGGCTTAACCGGCTCGTGCTGAAAAACATGTTAATCCGCTTATAACCTTAGAAACGTTTATGTTACGTCAGCCATATTTAGAAGTATTTAAACAGAAATATCCGATTTGTAATGACTCAAAATAACTTTTTGCAATATTTATTGAAAAAGGAACCGTCCAAGGTGCACCCAGAGGAAATTACGTTTCCCTTTTATTTAATAATTAAACGAGATTAACACGAAAATTACTGGTTCACTGAAAACCAATATGATGTATGATGTAAAAGAAATTTACTGGGGACTCAAACAGAAACACTATGCATTATTGTGAACGCAAGGTTGACAAAATGTCACGGGTTTCACAAGTCAGGGTTGAGGACTGAAGGTCAAACACCGCGTAAATCTGAAAATACGCTCACAACAAGATTATATTTTTCTTTCGGAAAAAATATAAATTGGCAAATCCAACTTCCCAAACGTATATTGTGTAAGGTCCTGCTGTAAACAATTTAACTGACTCAAAACGAGCCAATCAAATGCAGTCTTGTTTTGCAGTTTTCCACAATTCAGAAATAATCTTCTCTCACTTTCTATTTAAAATATTAAAGGTTGGCACCAAAGTTAACATTTTTTGTCACAAACTGGTGTTCTCGATAACAACAAATCATGAGCAATCCTGTTGTCGATGCGATCCCGACTGCGTGCGACAAAATATAAAGGGATTTTAAGGCAGGGGTTGATAGTCGAATAAAGCCATCGAAGTAAAGGTTTTGTCAATTTATTCTACATTGTATACACAGAGGATATTTCAAGGCCGCTTGGAGATACGAAATTTCTCTTCGATTGTTGAAAAATATTCAGTTCACGAGTGAAATATTTTTAAACACGAGAGATAATTTCGTATTTCCAAGCGGCCATGTAATGTTCTATTAATTACATTAACACCAATGAAATGCCAAACAATTTGACTTTCGCTGCGAAACTGCGCGATTTATTGTATGACCATAGCAACGGTGATCTTTTCACATGTGAAGATAACATGTCATTTTAACGTGTGAAAATATCATGTTTTGCGGGAAAGAGCACCTGGTATTTCATTGGTGTTCACATAATAAATCAAAATTCAATTTTTTTGTTTACTTGCTCCTTTGCTGAATCGAAAGATTACATTTTCGTCCAGAGAATCGGTTTCATTTTTTTTGGCGCAAACTAAACAAGCGTGTTGCTATCCTTCCAGTAGCAAGGACAAGGACGAGCTTTGCAACTGACTTTTAACTGCCAAACTGACAAATGGGCCAGTATCTCACTCGCAAACCAACCTAAATCTTGGTAATCACTAAAGCTGTGTGACGGAAAACGGATAGATGACAAAACGGATTTGAAATGACACCTGACATTTTAGTCTCCTATCCATATCCTTGCAATAAGGAAATTATTATCTTATCATCACTTCTTTGAGATTTGTGTCAGGAAAACCTGTAACACGCAGAAATCTAGAAAAACCGACCATCCTCTGACCATGCATCGAACACGGACGTAAATCTCGCATTTTGCGAGTGAATCGAGATATTTTGTTTATAAATATAAACGTAATTTTTTTGTTTTCCTCGCAGGCAACCAGAGAGTGAGAATCAAGGATCAATAATATTTGGGTTGCTCCAAAGCTTACCATCCTCACAAGGTACACAGGGCGGCGTCTTGACCAAAGTTACGGTGTTTTTGGGAGTCTAATAACCGTGAATCAATCAGTCATTTGACAAGAAAACTCAACAAGACAAAGAAAAAGCAAACTGAACTTGGGCATTAGTTGATTACACAAACAGCAACAGCACGCTGACTTCCGAGAAAAATCCCTTAGCAAGGAAAGTGTCAGGCCATTAATAACAGCCAAGCAACCTCCTCTTCCTTTCGTAAAAATTGGGCCGGTGAAATATGAATAACACAACTGAGCACAATTTTACCATAGACTTGGAGAAACAACTTTTTCTGGCCTATTACGTCATTTTGATCGTTTTTACAGTAGCGGGAAACACACTGGTTTGTGTAGCCATCTATGTCGACGTGCGCCTGCGCAGTCCCACCAACTGGTTCATTGCGTCACTGGCGGTCAGCGACTTGTTTTACGGGCTCGCTGGCCTACCATTCCGAATTGCGTCGAATGTGACGCCGATGACGAGCGTTGCGGTGTGTTCAGCCTGGATCTGGATGGACATGGTGTGCGCTGCCGCCTCTATGGCAAATCTAGCGGTGATATCCGTGGACAGATACATGAAAATAACCAAGCCGTTCTGTTACCATAGAAACATGACCAAGAAACGTTCTCTGCTGGCTATATGTGGAGTGTGGGTGTACGCAGTCACTTTGGCTACATTCGCGATCATTAAGTGGCCCGGGGCAAAAGGAGTGGTCATCGACCATGACCACGGCCTTTGCCGCAACGACAACAAAGTGTTCTACACGGTAGCTAACATAGTGGCTTTCCTGTCGCCGCTTGTTGTGGTCATCGCTAGTTACTCCCTGATCTTCCGCACCGCATTAATACAGTTCAACAAAATGAAACACTTGATTGTCAGCACTAGCACTAAAGAAGACAGGCGGAAGCAGAAGAGCGTAGTACGGGACTTCAAAGCCACCAAGACGTTAGCTGTGGTGCTCGGTACGTTCACCGTCTGCTGGGCGCCGTTTTTCATTATGTTCACAATTTCTCAATACGATCCGTCTTACCTGATGCACCTTCCGAAAGACGTTGCCATGGCGTTCATTTACCTGTTTTTCTTGATTTTACCAAACCTTAACAGTGCTTGCAATCCCGTGATTTACGCGTACTTTAACGCCGAATTTCGGCGCTCGTTTAGAAAGATCATGTGGTCTTCTTGTGATGGACAAAACCAGGACAGCCTTAAAAAAAGAAGACGAAGTTCAGTAACGAGCTTTTTTCAAATGACTTTCGCTCGACGCAACAGCCCTCAAGCGGTCGGAAACGACGACAAGAATCACAACTCTCCCGACGATGAGAAGGCTTTCCTCAATGGGGACACCACAATTACGCAAGTGTGAAGTGGCACCACGGACGGTCACGCAGTAATTGCTTGAAGTGTAACGCACCAACGCGAACGGTCACGCATGTACCAACAATTTTTCAGTCAAGGGTAACGCAATACAAGGAACAGTTATACAGGAATTACTAGACGTGTAACGCAACACCTCAAACGGTTACACAATCAGCATTTTCCATTCGACAAAAAATTCTGGTTTGACTTAACGGAAATTTCCAGTGACAAATGACACAAGATTTTCCAGAATTTCCGGAAAAGAGGACAACCTCGCGAGGTATACCAAAATTTTTGGTAATTTCTTACCGGGAATTTCTGTTCCTAGAAACTTAACCAGAAAATTTCCGTACAATTTCCCCCCATTTCAAAATTTTCGGAATTTTTGGTTGAATGGAGAGTGTGCAGAGATTACTTTAACATGGGATTACCCATAATACTTACATTGCAACGGGTATGCGTTATTGATTGACTACGAAAAAATGGTGATTGCGTTACAATGCCTTTGTAACACAATAACACAAAATTTATTAACGTAATAAATTGATTTAGCACACGGGGTGGTAATTTACTTTAGGTAGCCCAAGGGTGGGTGCTTATTGAAGAGGAGTAGCTCATTAAGGACAGAGACTTATTTCTTCCTCAACATTCAGTACTTAACTCAAGAACTGTAACAATGGACGCCCTGATAGACAATTATGTTCATTATTATATAGCTAGCTCTGTGGGTGGGCAAGATGAATCAAATCCTGCACTGTGATTGGCTGCCCGGGCAGGCAAGATGGAACTATCTTGCCCGCTCAGGACTACCCGGCGTGTTTCACAAGAAAAATTTCCTCGAAAGCCATATAATAATCCTTTATTGACTGAGCTTGTCTAGTCAAGATGGCTGGATATTGGCCTCGTTCTTTTTTGCGTGTTTATGGACCTTGACTCCGTCTCAGTCCATAAACACACAAAAAAAGAACTTGGCCAATATCCAGCCATCTTGACCTCACACTTGGTCAATAACCCTGATATATTACATTCACATGAAAAAGCAAACCTCATAAGGGATGGACAATTATTATTTTTTGTTTTTTGAGGGGGGAAGGGTTGGGGAGGTTGGGCAATTTTCTGGCCATGAATGTTTTTTTTTTCTCACCTTAAGGTTGTACATGTTTTTTTTTTGGTGGGCAATAGCTTGTGCAATAATTTTTATTTAAACATCAAAAATCAAAATAGTAGTAAAAAGCACTTGCTCAATTCTTTTTGTCCCATGGCTCCCCTCGCACAATTTTTTTTTCCGGCTGCGGGAAATTTTTTGGAGAAATTTCCCAACCTCTCCCCCTCAAAAAATAATGGTCCATCCCTTATTCCTTCATCTTATCAGTCTGGAATGTCACTTTCACTATGGGGTCGCTTATTGGAATTGGGCACTAATTGGAAAAGGGGTGCTATTTTAGAAAACAACACTCGGTGGGAAGCACTTATTAGAAAGAGGGCACTTATTGGAAGTAGGGTGCTAAATCAAAATATTACATAAGATTTTTTTCAACTACATGTAGATGCAGTGGAGGTCCTTAAAATGTTCAAGGGCTTGTAAATTGATAACAGTACTTTGGTAGGGCTTGAGTTCAATAAGGCTTCCATGGTTAACAATCCTGACATCATGCAGCTGTGCACTTATACAATTAATCTTAGCTTGTACAAAATTTTTCAAAAACATTCTGTAGAAATATTACTCATGAAAGCGTTCTGGCTACATGTATTGTGACATACACAAAGAATTGAATCTGTTGTGTTCTCGAATGAACTTGATGACAATTTTGCCAAAAATAGAAGTTCTGTACAAAGATGAAGGAATATATTTTGTTGTTAAATCCTTTGGCTGTTTTCCTTTTTGTGCCTCTGTTTTAATTGGTCAAGTCAGACGTTTCATAGAATAGCCTGTCTCTTAAAAATGACTACGAAATATGGTTATGGTATCTCCCACCCCAAACCCCACCCATAAGATAAAGTTTAAATTTGCATACAAGCCAAGTGGCCAATCAGGCCATCGGTTTCCATATCATGAAGCGACTAGGAGTTTTTTTACTCCCCCCTGGATGGGATGCTAGTCCATCGCAATATTAAATTTGCCAGTACCCATTTGTGCACCTGGGTGGAGAGAGGCACTGTAACAGTAAGGTGTCTTGCCCAAGAACACAACACAATGTCCCCAGCCAGGGCTCGAACCCACACCATTCAATCTAGAGTCAAGTGCACTAACCATGAGGCCACCATGCCATCATAGGAACCCCACCCATAAAAACCTTGGGAATTCCTTGACATTTAAAACAGTTTTAACTTTTCAAATTCCACTTGGAATTTCCAATGACCTCCCGCAGGGTGGGTACAGATATTCCGGGGACCGTATAAATATTTAAAGGCATAATATATAGAAGGGTACATTTAAGATAATTATAAAAAAAGCAACAGTGATGGTAAACAGAAAGAAACTTTGGTTAAACCTAGCAAATGTTAGTTCCCACTTCACCCCGCAGACCAGAGCCCCGTTTCACGAAAGACCCGGTAAATTATCGGCCCGTGATTGTAAAAAAAACGCAGTGGCTATTCGTACGGCACCCGTACGGCGACTTGTATTCCCTATTCGTACGGGAGTCACACGATTTCATTGAATTTCTCTGTAATTGCTGATTCTTCCTTATCCAAATTATTATATTCACCTTTAGGAAAAATAAGCGATTCCAATGAGTGCCGTTTCTTCGGGCCAGATTAATTTGTGTACTCTTTGCATACTAAGCGAACGACCCTTAAAATTTTTTCCGAACTAGTTAATACTCACACGCATGTCACGCGGTAAGAAGGGACCGTACAGCGACTGGTATCTGCTATTCATACCGGATTCCTCGAGTATAACTAAAAGTTACCATTAAATTTAAGAATCGCTAACCTGTTTTTGAATGTCATAGTTGAACACTTTCCTCAGACAACACCTGTCCAGCCGTATTTTCGTGAAACAGTTTGCGTTACAAGATTCAGTGTGCATGTATTCCTCACCTGATTTGAAAGGAGAAAACGTTCGAAACATCCATCCTTCGGTAAACTACCCGTGAGTAGCCGGACTAAATACGAAAAGAACTATCTAACGCTGACTGAAACTGCGTCTGCCATGGAAGCAGGAAAAATTCCCGTATGAATAGCAGCTAATAGCAAAAATGCGAATAATTCGTACGGGACTACCAACAAGAGTCCAAATTCAGAGAAGTTCCATGTTGTCACTTACCACCCGATCCAAGTCAATGTATTCTAAGTTTTTAAAAGGCTAAAAGGAATTCAGTTCGCACTTTTTCAACCTACAGTGTACTTTGTAGCAAGTAAATCTGTGAACCAGAGGTAGCGTGACATGTGTGTGAGTACTAACTAGCTCGGAAAAAATTTGGAGTGTCGCGAGTGGGTCGTTCGCTTAGTATGCAGAGAGTACGCAAATTAATCTGGCTCAAAGAAACGGCACTCTTTGGAATCGCTTATTTTTTCTAAAGGTAAATATAATAATTTGGATAAGAAAGAATCAGCAATTACAGAGAAATTCAATTAAATCTTCTGACTCCCGTACGAATAGCCACTGTGTTCCCCAAAACGAGCGTTGCAAAGCGTTCATGTCAAGTGTCAAGTCAAACAAACCTTGCAGTAGACGACAGCAGCTACAGTGTAGCGACCTAGTTAAACAGATATATCAAAGTTACCCTCAGTTTACCGTAAACTAAACATAAGCAACAAATTTGGTCAAAAGTACGATAAATTACTTGGTTTTTGAACATGCCATTAGGGACAGCGCGTCTC